GTTGAAAATGACCTTTTTGTATTCTTCTCTGCTTTCACTCATTTTTGAAAGGAATTTAATACTCTATAGAGTGTTGTATTCATAAAATGCTAGACTACAAGTACCAATTTACAGAGTGTAATATTATTGTGTTTTGGGGAAGTTATATATATTTTTTCACCTGTGCAATACTTTTGTCATATACTGTAAGCATTACTCTTGTTAAGCATAACCTCTCATTAAGCATGACATTTCAGGTCTACCATTACTCTTGTAGACACTAGAATTTTACTTGTTAACAAGCATAACCTCTTAATAAGCATTACTTTTTATGTCCACCAAGGGCAATGCTTAATGAGAGGTTTCACTGTACTATAATTACATAAATGGCCAGTCAGGGCTGTCCTAAAAAGAGCTGTAAGAGTCAGGGTCTATCAGCAAAAAGAGGCTCAATCATTGCCTATTTTTCAAGGGTAGCTATTCCTGAGGCCACACTTGGTAAGTATTGAAGGAAACACAGTACAATTTTTTGACATACATGGTCTAATAATATTTTTCTTTTCTTCTTCTCTAGGACAGCCTCATACCTCTCCTGACCCTAGGGAGAATAATGAGAGAGAGAGAGGGGGGGGGGGGTTACAAATTAATGGGATTGAATTGTCTGAAGCTTGTATGACTCTTGTTCTTTCATAATTGAATTATCAAGTCTGCACCATACTTTTGGTCAGGAGATACTGTTATATGATCTGACGTCATCAATACCCTCGTGCCGCTTGACTCGAATGATCTAGGGCTATGACGTCGAGGTCTCGTTCACCAGCTGTTTGTTCTAGCTTGTACACATAACTATTTGTTTATGTTGCTCTATCTAACAAACAAATGGTAGGCATGCATACTTAGCTGGCTAGTAAGTTACAACAGTATACATAGGGACGTGTATTCTTTTTATATATACGTTTGCGATGACTTAAAAACAGCTCAGATTAGATTACGCTAGATCTACAATTCATCATCGCAAGGAAGCAATTATGAACAAATTGCACGTTCTGGTAGGATTGCTATTCAGTCTGTCTACGTTGTGTAATGTAGTATGTACGAAGGAAAAAAAAAACAGGCAATTAGTCCTTCAAAACACTGTGGGAAGATGAGCAGAGGGAAACAGGATGAGTGAGTGAGGAGAAAAGAAACGAACGAACAAGTACAAAGGAAAGAGTCCTAAGAAAGAAAAAGATAATAAAGATAAAGAATCTGTCAGCGAAAAAGGAGTGGACGAAGTTTGCGAAATAACAGGAAAGTGAAAACGAATTTAAAACGGAGGTTTGAAGGAGGGTGTGTTTTCAATCGATAATGATGGCTATGACTATGGGATGAGGTTATCGAGAAGAATCTGGGTCTTCGGCAGCTTCGAGCATCATTTCTACCATTACAGGAACATGAGGTTAGAGGGTTGAACGAAGAGGAAGAATAGAGTGAGAGTTAACGTACCTCCCCACATAGAGTTCTGCATTGACGAAAGCACATGCTGAGGGTCTTCCTCGATTGAGTCTCGGACAGGAGATGTCTCGATCCTTCATTCATCAATGGTCGTCAGAAATATGGACAATTACCCAGGATACGACGACAAATTAAACTCACGGATACTGATACCCCAAATCCGCCGACAACATACTAACGTCACTCACGCGTCTATTCCTCTGCAAGCCTCGACCCCTTCGCGAAGGCGAATCCAGTGTAATAGACAAATCAGGTGAATGGTACGGGGAAGGGGAAGAAGGGGAAGATGAGGGATCACGGAAGAAGCCCATGGAGTCTCGGTTTGCCTGTGTGATATCACGAGATGTCGTTGGTGGAGTGGATGGCGTATCTTCGACAATGATCGCAGGGATGTCTAGAAAATTTAAATGATAAGTGGTCGTTTGGAGATGAAAGGACAGGTGAATACAAGCTGTCGTACCTTGGTCAAACATCTGTTGCCGTCTTTTCTCTTCCATCATGGCGCGGAATTGTCGACGATAGTAAATTGTCTTCAATAACGAACGGACGCGGTCGAGATTAACTAGATCGTTGACAAACTTATTGATCTCGGTTCTCGTTACGAGTTCGTTCAAGCTATAATCATGAGTCAGGATAACGTTCACACACGCTTCGATAAGTCGGGTCGTACCTTAGAGCTTGCCGATCGTCAATGAGTTTGTGATGCGCCAACATAAGTAGCATGTTCGTAAACGATATGCCTTTCCCTGGTTCCTGTGAGATCATCGCCTCGTTGTATACCCGTGAATATAATGTTCTCCTTTTCCTGATCTTGGCATTGTCGATCCCACTTAGAATCTTGTTGAGCTTCGATAACTCAATCCCCTCTAAAACAGCATTTGACCCTGGCCAAGGCTGGTCCGTGTCATTATTGGCTTGAGTAACGGCAAGCACGTTCTTGACACTGCAATCTGCTGGATATATGCGGACTTCGAAGACGCCACTCAGTTTCTACATAGCAGTCAATAAACATATACCGTAGCAATGCACATTATCAACTTACACCCAAAAACTTGACGAGTTCACCCTTCTCCAGGTACCCTGTGCGAGGATTCGCGAATTCCGCCCAGACTTTCTTGAATGCACGCATTTCCTCTCGAGTGATGGCCTTCGTCCCTCCGACAAGTTGGAAAACGTAGGAGAAACTCTCGACGACAACACCTATTTTGCGATGAGCAAAGTATTATTAAGAGGAACGCGGCGTGACGTACCAGTAAACATGTTGACGAAGATGTACTAAAAGCGAATTTCATTGTTAACCTAATCATATCCGAGCAGCAGTGAGGTTACTCACCATGCTAAGGATGTTCCACGCAATGAACAACGTGAATGCCCATCCTATGCTCCCACAGTCTGTCAGAGGATCAGTGTCTGTGGAAGGGGTGCAGCGCGGAAAGACGAGGGCGCTAAGGAACAGAGTCAGCCCTTCGCGAAAAAAGGAAGTATGCAGATTACACACTAATCATGCATGTATTGATTCCAGCCTTCGCCTGTACTCATAAAAGCCAGCATGACAAGTGCAGACCCCAGAGTCGAGTAGTTCTGTGTGCGCGACTCGGCCGAACCCCACTTCGTCAAGCTGAACACTTCCACGAAGAGTATTGCAAAGAACAAGAACAGAATGAACCAAAGGGCCAGCAAACTCAAGATTACCGGCAAACTCGCCCTACATAGCAAATCAGTGAAGATCGTCATGGAGTTAGTTAGTACACGTACATCGCCGTCTTAAACAACTGATTCAAGCTGTTCGTCCTTTGCACCAGCTTGAACGCAATGCTAACAAGGAATAGTTTCTGTAGCTGAGCGATGAGGAAACTGTCTGAGCCGAGCCTGTCAATCACTGTCGTTACGAGGGCTCCAACAGCGACGATAACATCGAAAATGTTCCATCCGTTTGCCTTGAAGCTGCGAAAACCAAGTCCGAACCACCGTACAATAATATCGACAACGTAAATGAGTGTAATGGCCAGAAACCAGCTGTCTGAAAGTCTCAAGAGCATCAGAATCATCGTATCGCAGAAATATAAACTTTACACACTCCGTAGTTCGTCTACTGCATCCTGCGTTGACAGTGTTTGTGTCCTAGACGAAAATCAAATTAGCCGAAAATGGGGTAACATAAACCTAGATGCGCATACATGAGAGCGAAGATATGTATGATAAACAGGAAAGTCATAGTCCGAGACCACCACCCATGTTTGTGAACGGCTCTGTCATAGCACCATGCTCTAAACTTCGATTTAGGTCTGACCTTCGGCCGCTTCGACGGTCGTTGTCGCTTGATGAGTTTCTGCAAATCGACCCACTCTCGCTGTTCCTTGGTTAATAGAGCGAGACCCGCTTTCGAAGAGAAGTTGCCGATAATGATACTATAGATCAATCAGCACCAGAGAAACAGCACGTCAGAAGTGGGAGGCGTACCTGACGAAAAGTGTTAGGACAACAACGGCTCCAAGCTGCATATAAATAAGGAAGAAAATCGAGTTCGCTTCGGCAGAGTTAGTTTGCGGCTGCGCGTTCGGGCCTAATGCGCTTGTCGCAACATTCATAGCATCTACCCATCCCTCAAGCGAGACGATCTCGAATAGAATCAGTAGCGAAGACCGGAAGTTATCGAAGGAGAAAGTCGTTGAAGGCGAAGGATTATCCCACGAACGCGGAGCAAGGAAAGTGATCGCAGAATCATCAGACCCGATGACCGAGTTCGGGTATTCGTTCACACAACTATCAACGCCATTGACGTTCGAATCGTTGCATTCATTCAACAAGCCGTGAAAGATATTCAGGCCCCAAACGGCATACGGTATCATGTATAGGATAGCGAGCATGGCTGCATCCAGAATACGGAGCGCACCAGAGATGATGAGCGATTGAAACGTCGAGCGCATTTTTTCTATGAGAGTGATAAGTCGAAGAGCCCGTAGCGCCTTCAATGACCGGGTGAAACGACTAAGGCCACCGATGAAGATAAGTCCCGTTACGACGTTGACAATGAGCCCGATAAGAATGAACAAGTCCAGCACGTTCCAGATGCTCCTGATATATGCGTTTGGGGTAAAGGAAAATCCGTCCGCGATTAGTTTGATGAGGAACTCGACAAAGAGAACCAGTCCAAACGTCGTCTCCGCAATGTCGAACCATGATCCTCTTATCTTTCCATGTTCGCTGTAGAAGTTCTTACGATATACAGGTGTAGCAATAGCCTCGACGACGATTCCGCCGATGACGGTCAGCAGAAGGATCAGTTGAAAAAGCGAATGTGCTAGCGGCGAGTGCGGAACGCCAAATATGCGGTCTCCGTTCGCCGGCTGTACCAGACGCTGGCAAAATTGCCGGATCTTATTCTTCTGCGAAAAGATCCAGAAGGTCTTGTCGTACGATGGATGCGCCCGGATGAAGTCAGCTTTCTGTGCCCTCCGTTCGTACAGCACGTCGTTGATGTCTTGTGAATCTTGAGCGTCAGCATTTATTGAGGCTAGGATCTCGCTGATATATACATTAGCAGGACAGTAAAGTGTAGGATGCGGCAGATTACTTACAGATGTCTTTCAAGCTCTTCACTGTTCGGGTCTTGTGGACCCAGAGAATCGCGTCGTGCGACACGAAGCGTTGCAAGTGGCACGTCATTGGATCGATTTTCACCAATAAACAGTCGTTGCAGTGCGCTGATCGACTTGCTCGAATAATGCCCCTTGATCAAACTTTTCCCTCTCCTCACCTACAAGAGTCAACAGAATCAGTCTCTAAGCCTGTACGGTACCTACCAATAAGCCGCGAAAGGAACAACTCACACTTGTCGTGGAGAAATCCGGGTTGAACGAGCTGTCCTGGATAACAGCCTTCTGCATAGGAAGGATAAGATTCGACGGAAGGTTTTCGACGGCAATAGATTTCGGATTGGCCTTGAACCAACGATATGGGTTCAGCCGCCTCAGCCATGCCGGAGAAGCCTGAACAGGCTGTTGTGTCGCATAATAATTCGTCGCCTGTTTACCCTTTTTCAATTCCTCCGCAACATCGAAGTTCTCGTTTATAACAGCGATGAAAAGCTGCAAGAGAATGACTGTCAAGGCAAAGAAAGTCAGGATGTTTACTTGCGATTCTGCAGTTGACAAAGAAACGTTACTTACAGTTTGCGAAGAGGAACCATATAGTTATGAACAACGCGACAAGTGCAGATTGTCCTAACGGCACTTCTGCGACCGAAGAGCCGAATAAAACATCCGTCCAGTTCTCAGAGGAGAATACCTTGATGGGAAATGTCAGCAAACGATTATAAATGTCGACAGTAACTATGTGCAGCAAATGCATACCTGATACATGGCGAGAAAGGAATTGTAGATTTCCTTAAAATTCATGTTCACGCTGCTGGACATATCGCCACGCAAAAGTTGTACACCAACTAGTGCCGCGACATAATTCGCAAGGATAAGAAACAAGGACATATTGACCAAACCATACAAGTTCCCAAATACAGTAAGCTTGACCACAAAAGTTAATAAGTTGACCCGAATTGGACCACCATCATTAGTTGCACTCACCAATAATGGTCGCATTCTCGGTACCTCCAGAATCACACGATAGAACCGCATGAGTTGAAAAATCGTTAACCACGGATAGACAGTCGAATCACGGATAGCAGGAAGCTGGATAATAGTACATCCAATTGCTAAGAGCAGATCAAGCCAGTTATTTCCGTGATCGAAAAAATTACGCCAGCGTGGAAGGTAGCCGAGGAATCGCCAGACAATATCAACATCGAAAAGAAAGGTCAGAGCAAGCTCGCCCCACTCTAGGATGCGGAGATGCTCTTCGGAAGATTCAGCAGAACGAGTCGCTTGTAGGACTACAGAGGCAAGAGCAAAGAGGACCCAAATCCATTTCGTGCGGTCATACCATTCCTTGACTGAGCTGGTACCCGACCTAGTTCGTCCGTCAAGCACGCTATAATCATCGTCATTATCGAGAACGATCGGCCCCAGACTATAATGACACTCATATCAATATCAGTTCAACAGAGGCGTGAGCGAGAAGACTCACGGTGCAGCACCAAACGCACTCTTCTGCGTGTCCTTCCGAATAGCCGAGAAAGTGTTTGTAATGACAGCAACGAAAAGGTTGATAAGCCAGAAGTTCAACACGACAATACAAATGATAAAAAAGAAGCAGGAGACGAAAAACTCCGCGTCGATCATAGAATACATCATTTGCGACCACTGTAAATACGTCAATCGTCAGGTATGTCGTAAAATGAGGGTCTTCAGACTCACCCCATTCGCGGATGCAACAATGACAACTTCTAGCGCTGCAAAATATATCGTGTCGAAGCTCTGTACGTTTGCATTTGGATTTTGTGCTTCCTATTTGAAACTTCATTATGCAGCGCAAAATCGATGAAGAACTCTAAGATACGTACCCTGCAGACTTGACCCAACGGGCAGATGTAACCCTTCGAAGATGTGCTGGTTGTCCCATCCAATTTAACGAACGCTGTAACATTTAAAGAGGTCGGGTCTATGAAACCACCGCAGCGTTGTTCAAGGTTGATCTCAAGTCCCGATGCCGTTTGCAAGAAGCACGATCGCCTAAAAGAACCCTGAAACGACTGTATGCCGATAATTCTGCGAAGCATTAGTATGCCGTAAGCAAAACATAACCGGATACGCACGAGAATAATATTATGGCAAAAAGTACAAAATATGCAACGTTGGTCAGAAGCGGTCGAGCACGTTTCAGGGACCTCATGATAGTCTAGACACAGGAAATTAATTAAGCCACCAAGCTTAAATGTCGAGAAGATAAGAAAGCGGACATACCGTCGTACCACTCGTTACCGCTAGTAATCTACTTGTTCTTAATACGCTTAGTGCTCTGAAAACAGCAATGTGCTTTGAATGGCTGCGTTCGGCGCCGACTTCCGCTAGGATAAATGTAATCCAGAAGGAAATTATCGCAATAAAGTCTATCCGATTCCACGAGTGGCGAAGATAGGGCACGTTTCGAGTGACGTGATCCTGCGCGGTGTAGACCGTCAATCGGAACGGTAGTCCGAGATACTCCTTTCCCGACTTGCCTCCTGCGTCGTCAGGCATGTCTGCAGTTGCACTGCGCAAAGCTCGAGCAAAGAAAGTAGGCTTTGTTACATCGCGGGGGTCGTGTATATGGTGCGGAGCAGGAACGTTGTCAGTGCCATGAAAGGCATCTGAGAAGACGGACGAAGGTGCGGTACCATTCAGGCCCTTCTCCTGCAGAAGACTTGCGGATGACTGCCTCCCAGCACCAACGACCACAGAAGAAGGTTCGAGCGTAGTGGATAGCGAGACTGGTATGGACCCAGGTGAAGTCTGATGATGCGCGAGTGCAAATGGACGCACGATGTTTTCGCGTAGTTGATGGAAAATTGAGTTTAATCTCGGTCCACCGCTCCGTTGAGAACCACTTCGAGCCAGGCTCGATGCGAAAGAGGTCGATTGTGACATGGGGAAGGAGGGTTGCGCATCGCGCGAGACAACGGGTGAGGGAGAGTACGTGAAAAGTCCTCTGTAAAGTGCTGAAGTGGGCACCTCTGGGTCTAAAACGAACCCGGTAGTAGCAATACGTGCAAACGCCTCCAACCTGTAGGACAAGCCTCCATCTGAGTAGTGTACAAAATTAAGGGACGATATAGACTTACGTGAATAAAATGAAAAGGACGAATAACGCATAATCTTCCCAGAAATGAAAATACCCGCGAATAGGAGCAGGTAAGGGGTCATTAGAGGAGTCATCAGGGAGAGTGAACGAGCGCGCAGCCTGAACTGTAAGTACGATGGCATTGAAAACGATAAGAAGGAGGATAATGGGTTCGGTCCAGCTGGGAAAGGCAGCCATACCGTGTATTAGCTTTCTGCGTCGTACTTAAAGAAAACGCCATGTGATAAAGTACGTACGAATGAGCAAGAAAACGAAACATGGCTAGTCGTATTCGACTAGTGGAATTAAGGAAGCCTAAAGTCCGCCCCCGGATGGGTAGCCTCGCTGCAAGGTCAGGAAGTTCTTCTTCCTCGTTTTCGATAGCTTCGTAATCTGCTACGTCTTCGCGTGCACGTTCCTTACCGCGCGTTCTTTTTCCTCCGAATTCGTCATCCGGAAGACGTACACCTCGCACCTTCTCTTCTAAACCGACACCCGCAAAGTTTACCACCCGCAATGAGACACGTCTAAGATTCCGCTTGACGGAACGCAGTCGTTCACCAGGGCTTGGTGCGGTGCTGTAGCGCACACTCTTCGAGCGATGGCTTCGGTTCATGCTCCCCGGGGTGCGCTCAAGGTCGATGTTGGACGCCTCGCTTGTACGTTGACCGGCTATAGATGAAGTGAGGCGTGTTTCATCGTCATCAAGGTCAATGTCGTTATATTCAGACACGACCGACTTGCTGCGGTATGCGCCAATAAGGGATGACTGCGACGCGTTTGTGGTTTCACGAAAGAAGCCTGCGCGTGCAACTGCGTCATCTTCGTGAGGCGTGTCCGTGTCTGGGCTTTCACGGTCTTCATGTGCCTGCGCCTTGCTCGTGTCCAGCCGAAGTGGGTCATCAAGCATATCGACATGCTGCCTCTCCATCCTCGCCCAGCTCAGTCTGCGCCTGCTGATGCTTCCGTCTCGCGGGCTAAGGCTTATTGGACTGGACGGCACACTCGAGGCAATTCCCGCCGGCGTGCCGCTGAGATCTACTGCGGACGTCAAGGTGTAGTCCCCTAAGTTAAAGTGTTCGGAGCCGGAATGGGACGGTGAGTGTCGTTCCATATGCTGTTATGCGTTCATGAGGCCTGCCAAAGAGTTGTTGCCGAGAAACAAGCAAGTCGAGTGCGCAGCAACCAGTTTCTCGTTACCGTTGTCGTGTCCTGTCGTCGGAGCCTCTCTTCGTGTCGCGTAGCTTAGATCCACGCACGTGATTGAGTTAATCGATTATGTAAGGCAATAGCTATAAAGGTGCCGTAGCATCGTCGAACATTTGTTGCGCTTGTTCACTGGGCTGGACGTTGGCCCGATCTTTCTCTACTTAGCGGATATGTAGTGGGATGAGCACAAGGCATTGTAGGCGGAGTTCTCCATCCAGTTTGAATAAACCGCGTTTTCAATGCGGCCCGCAACTAATAATATTAATCATCTTCCCCGCCGAATGTATTTTGAAATTGAAAAGGGTACAGAATAGGCCTGGATGATGATCGCGCTTCTTCTCTCACTGCCATCATAACATCAGTGCTTCATCTATTGTTCATCTATTGATATACACCAATGATCTCTCTTTCAGGTGTCAAGCAATTTTCCTCCCGTCTCCGTCGTCACGCTCCCATTAGAACGCTCCCCGTAACACACAGACCTTCACTGACAAAATGCACGCTCTTGAAAGAGTACAATCACTAACACGATGCTCTGGAACCTATCCACCAGCGACTTGTATGCTCAAAAGCTAGCCTGCCTCAAACTCGGATATGCCCTCTTCAAACCAAATACTAATGGCAATTACAACTTCGTTCGTGTCGGCGATGTTGGCTATGTCTCAGAACACAGCAAGCTCATTGAGTGATTCTCTTTCTTTAGTATGAAGCTATCCTACACGTTTATCACAGCATCCTTAAGTAAGAGAAATGATTTCCTAGTTTGATCTAGAAAAGGCAGTCCTTATCGAAATCCAATCAACATGTGCCTTGTGGTGCACTGCCTTTATTTCACATAAAGGACAAGCAGGCGAGAGAAAGCACATATCGATCCCCCTTCCTCAAATGCCTCGAAGTTTACCCCCTCACGAATGCTATTCTCTCAAGTTATCTTGCTTGAATTATGGACTCGCCCTCTTTGAACCGAACCCTAGCGGTGATTACGACTTTGTCCGCATCGGCGACGTTGGTTACATGTCGGAACACGGCAAGTTCATCAAGCTCTTCAATGCGTTCAGCCCTCCAGGGTCCCTGGAAAATCGTGGTTTTGGTCTTCCAGCCGGTTTTGAACCAATCCCAGAGGTCTACCAAAAGAAAACCCAATTAGAATCCCTACAGCCTGGGTGCCGAAAATCTGAGAGTGTTAGGATGATCGCCGGCAGTTTCTCTATTTCTGGGTATGTCACTCAAAAATATATCATGTCCTAGCAATAATATATCTACTTAAATTACAGGTCAGTGCTTGAAGTCACTGCAAGCAGCAGTATAACATTGTCCTGTTCATCTAGAGCGGGTGCTGCACTCATAACGAAGTTCCGAGCGACACGAAATGCAGCATTAGCCTCAAAGGGCATGGAGGACTATATGCTTTCCAACTGCTTCTCTTGGCTGCAACTAGCCCACAACCTCGGCCGACCTGTTTCCTTGCACGACCTCATATTCGTCAGGGAATGTATCCTGACTGGTGACTGGGCAAATATCTCATGGAACAATACGGTCTGCGATACAGACATTAGTTTCGAGGCTGGCGTTCCTGGTGTAGTTGGTACTGAATTATCATTTTGGGGCCAATGGCAACAGCAAGTCGAAGTGCCAAAGCGACAGGGTCCGTTCCGGGAAACACCTTTATCAGATGGTACAGCTCCTCCATTTGATCAGTGCATATTCCTGAAAGGGCTGCGTCTGTTCGAAAGAACATGGTATGAGAAGGTGATCAATTCTCTGAAGGTGACTTCTCAGGGCAGCAAAAAGAAGATGAAGAAGATGCAATCTATGCAATCTGGGTTAAAGTTGATGATTGACAAGAACTTCAAGGTTGCACCAGTTGGAGACCCAGGAGCATTCCGTTTAGTATGTCTTGTTTATAAGATGATTAAATATAAAATATGCTGAATAACCTTAGATTAAAAGCACATACGACGTTCTTGCATTCTATTTATTTGAGGTACTTATTCAACATTAGCATTCACAGAGCATGTGTATATTAATATCTTGCACAGAACTCGGATGCAGACCTTACATTGATTGATGACAATGATGTCTTTTCCCTGGGCCTAGTTAGTATATTTTCCACCACAATCTTCTGTTCTTTGACTGATAACAATTTGATTCTCAGTCAGATGCTGATTCATTAGAGGATATTTGTAATATTCTGCTCAGTCTGGGTTCAGACAGTCCTATAATTGACACATTTAAAAGTTGTCAGGGAAAAGGTAATGAGACATCTTCTATTGAAAGCTTGTATGTACTTACATTTATGAAGTCGGAAAACTTGCTTGGGAACCGAAGGAAAAATCTCTTGAGTCTAGCAGCTTGGTAGGTCTTGATGAGCAAATGCAGATCCTATCTATGGTAGACAAAGACCTGTGGGGGAGAGTTAGAAGAAGTAGCCGTAATACTGTTGCTACTATCATGTCTCCTGAGATCAAGGTTATTCAAGACCCTAAGGACCGACACTATCCATTGCCCAATTCTACAGAGAGGTCTGGGGAACAAACGCATAGACTATTGAGTATGTTCCCCCCTCCCCCGTCAATAGACTCTGTATCAACCCTATCTACTTGTAAGTGGAGTTATTTCCGAGCATTAACAATGCTTATAATGTCCTATCTAGCAAGTATGACAGAATTACTAAACTACAAAGCCAAGAACAAAGTCTCGTTGGAAATTGTAGCACGAACAATTGGGGATGATCATCAGCCTTTGTGGAGTACCACTTGTACTAGTATGCATCTTTCACCTCCAAGTCCCAAGCAAAGTTGCAACTCACAACTCTTTAGTTAATGGCAAAGTTTATGGAAGGGGGACTGACACCAAGAAGAGAGTAGCGAATGAGATAGCAGCACGCGAGACGTTGGAAAGATTATGTGAGTTTAGGAATCGACTATAGTATTCTAGGACAAACGTTAATGCCTGTGTCTAAAGACAAAGAAAACCCAGGGTTGATAGCAGACTCGTCGCCTTCATACCTTTCAGCATTCCAAAATTATTTGGTAGCACATGACTTGACTGAAAGGGTTGAGATGATTTGTGACACATCAGGGCCAGCACACTTTCCACAGTGGTCTTGCAGGCTAATCCGTATGTTTTCTTTATCCTCGAAATTGTTTGCAGTGTAATAACGTCCATTGCCTCCTGCAGGAGACGGAAAACAGCTCTCAGTAGGAGTTTCATCGAAGAAAAAGAAGGCCATGGAGGATGCAGCAAAGAAAGCTGCGAAAGTATGGAATGATATCTGAATTATATATTTGTACTTTGGAAATCATAAAAGCCAAATTGCAGGTATGCATGTATTCTCAAGCTTGGAAAACAAAACAAAACAATATAAGCTCCTACTTCCCAACGCGCGGATTATTCATACTGTAAGAAAAGGACAGGGGAGCATACATAGCATATAGCCATACGTGCGTACAGCTTTACGACAACCAATATTAATCACCACCGGTTACTCCCTCCTCGGCCAGCACCAACCTCCCCACCACCTCTTCCCCTCGTAGGTCGCCACACCTTCTTCTCAGATACAGTCTGGAACCCATCCTCATCCCTCCCTCCCTCTTTCGCTTCAGCTCCTCCACTAGCAGCAGCAGCTCCAACAGCAGGAGAAGCAGGTCTTTCCGGTGTCACCGCCCCAGCTCCAGTAGTAGCTCTCGCAGCCTCACGCGCACGCCATCCCCCACCAGTACCAGCGGTGGCAGGTGCACCACCACGTCTGAACGCACCAGGAACGTACTTCCCCGCCGTCGAAGGTGTTTCCACTGCAGGAGGAGGAGGGGTAGCATTTGCCTGACGCGTAGGTGTCGCTCCCCCAGGAGGAGTCGCACCACTACGTCTCCAAGCCCCTGCAGGCGAGTCTGCTCTTCCTCCTCCTGGTTGTTGGGAAGAAGGTGGAGGAGCATTCCGACGAGCCAATAACCGCGCCTCTGCTTCTTCTTCTCTCTGCCTTTGTAACTTCGCACGTTCCTCTGCCAACTTTCGTTCTTCCTCGCGCTTCCTCCTCGCTTCGGCTTTCTGTTCTTCTTCCTTTCTGGCTTTTTCCTCTGCTTCGGCCTTGGCAGCCTCTTCTTCTTCGAGTTGGCGTTTCTCTTCTGCTATGCGTTCTAAAAGATTTACAGTTAGTTAGCCAGGTGGGCTCAAATAGATAAGATGAACAACGAACCTTCTTCTAAACGTCTCTCTTCTTCTTCCTGCTCACTCCTAATTCTCTCTTCCTCCTCCTCCCTCTTCCTCTCCTCCTCCCTCGCTTTCAAAACCGCCGCGCGTCTCTTACTCTTCTCCTCTTCAACCTTCCTCTCCGCCTCCTTCCTTCGCTTAACAAACTCTTCTCCACGTCGACTCACATACACATCCTTCCGCTTCTTATAGTCATCCATCATCCTCGATAACCTCTTCTTCGTATCAAGGTCCATCTGGTGCGCCAACTTGGCAGCTTCGAGACGGGATTTTTGTGATTCTTCAAATGCGCGACGATCGTCAACTTGCTGTTGCTCATAGTCTTGCGCGAGGAGGGGCCGTTCTTCCTTTCGGAAGGCTCGCTCAGTATGATCGAGTCGCTTGGCGATGATACGCAACCGTTCGGATTGATCTTTCTTTTCTTTTTCGATTTGTTGGACTTGTAGAGAAAGGAGGTTTTCTCTGTTCAAATCTCCGAGATCCTAGAAATAACGAAGGAAGAAGATTGTTTAATCAGTAAAAATGCTAAAGTAATGACGAAGAGTGACGAATGAGAGAAATGAAACGTACGTCCACATCGACCTTCAAAATATTCTTCTCCTTTAATTCTTGTGCGAGTTTCCTCGCCTCCTCCTTATCGAAGTTCTCTCTATCCCTCCTCAGCCTCTCTTCCTGCTTCTTCCTCATGTCCTCCATTGCCCTACGCGCAGCCTCGTCCTTCTCCCTCCTACTCGCCTCTGCACGTCGACTTGCTTCCTCCTTCTCTTTCCGCACACTCAACTCTGAAATAAGCTCCCTACGCCGAGCAACAATCGCTCGTCGGACTTGTAAGGCTTTACGCTCCGCATTGGCAACGGCCACGAGCTGAGCAAGTTTTTCCTTATCTTCTTTTTCTTTCTCCGCTTCGGAGGGAGGTGGGTTAATAGCGATTAACGCATTATGCAAACACGTCGCGACACTGCTCAACCTCGTACGCACAAGTTCACTCGCTGAGGGTTGAACGCTCTTATCCAACGCGTTCAAAATCGCCGTACTCGAGCCAGCAACTGGGCTCCCAAAAGCCTCATCGATGAACGTTAAGCTTCCCGAAGCATGGTCGATGCGCACGCGTAAATCTCCACTACGCGCACATGCCATAAGGAATGCCTCAACCTGTGGTGCCTCGTATGCGCCCTCAAATGAGCCGTGCAGAGGTGTAACGAGCTCTAGCAGGCGCGAGACCTCCATCGTTGAGTAGACCTGTGCGAGTTGTGCGAGAAGACGACTCAGCAAGGCGCGTTGCAGAAGTGGGAGATACGATGCATAGTTTGGATCTGAGGAGAGATCCTTGAGAAGCGGGACGACATTGCTGCAGAGTAAAAGCGGGTCGAAGGTCACTTCTAGGATGTTATAGAGGTCCTTTACGACTTTCGGGGCAAGTCTAAGCACATTACGTGATAACTACAAGTTAGACGTCAGTAAGAATGAGTTGTTACGGATATATCGGGGTTTAGCTTACCGCTTCTTTCAATAATCCAGTACGTGTCGGTGTCTTAGTCAGACCGAGTAAAGCTGTAAGACGCGCGGTCCTCCCTCTGACTTCATCTTCCTCAGACGCATGACCAACAGGGACAGCAAGCGCGCTAATGAGCACTTGTCCTGCCAGTCTACTTAATTCTTCGTCCGTCTTCCCTCCGGCGGACCTGACAATAGAGTAATACCTCGCCCACGCCGCGGCATGAAACAAGGCATTTCCACTCGTCAAAAATATTCTAGTTAATTTTTCGTAATAGTTCGCCATCATAGCTGGACGAGGTGACTTCTTCGCCATATTAAGGAGATTATGTATGTCCTCGACTGAACGGAAGGCTTCTTGCCAGAGCTCGAGCTCGACGGATGTATTAAGCTGCGCAAAACGTGTATCAAGATGGTGCTGCAGCGTATCGGCGTCACCAAGGTTAATAGAATGCGGTTGGTGTGCATATTTTGCTACGTTTGCAAGGTGAAGACGTAGTGTCTCGCACAAACGTCTGAATTCGACCTTGCGCTGATGCTTCAAGCAGAATTTGAAGGCTTGTTGTGCGATTTGCTGTCAATCGTCCGATCAGAAAAAACATATAGTAAGCATAATCTGTGCTCACCTGGTAGATTCCCTCCAGTCTGGCATTATTTTTAAGAGTTTCAAGAGCCGTTCTATAGCTCTCCCAAAGGAACTTGAGCCAGGGCGTAACAAGCGCCCTATCCGTCCTGTCCTTGTTTTGATCTCCACTGACGGCCCCAAGCAAAATGCTCTCGGGCGTCTCGCTCGCCTCAAGGTCATCTACATCGACGAGCGCAACGGCTTTCTCAGCCTTCTCCTGCGCCTCCTGGACCTTGGCATCTGCAAGCGCAACAAACTTCTTGATGACGACTTCGATTGAGCCGACGCTGGTGTTCTGCGCGATATTCTTGTACTGCATGAGGCCTTCTTTGGCCGTACGGCCCTTGCGCATTTCTACGCACAGCTCGACGAACCGAAGCATGATGGGTTCGAGAGACGCGAGCGGGGTGGAACGGAAGCGCTTTGAGGAGAACATTTCTGTAAGTGACTGCAGGGCTGCGTGAGACTGCCCAACAGAGACGAGACCCTCTGCCTGCTTGAGGACCGTCTCGGGCTTCGAAAATGGCGCCATGATTAACTTGTGGAAGTTAGGTTATCGGAAAGTGCGGACGACGGCCAGTGTGGCGGATGTCCGCACGAAGTAGTGTCTGGTGAGAGCGAAAAGTTTGGTGAGCGACGGCTGTTGTCGCTAGAAGTATGCTCTCTGTGTTCGTGTGTCGTCGGTGTCGGCGTTGTTGACGGCGACGGTGGACGGACGGTTGAGTGTCGTTGCTGGACGATGAAGACAAGGCGTGGCCTGGCAGCGGGCAACGGGTGAGTGTCGTCCTCACGAAAACTATTAAGGTTTGCGCGTCGTTCGTGAGAAGTCATCGCCTCATTGGTCGTGTTAACTCCTTTCTTTTCTCCGTATTTTTTATGTACGCCGAAATAAAGTAAGATTTGGATCCGCAGAGTTTATTAGTATTACCATTCCTTCATTCCTTCATTCTTATAAACGACGCAAACGCTACTTTTATTGCACACACAATCTTTTTCTAACCGAAACAGTAATAACGATTCAGGACATGCAAGAGGGAACAGACTCTTCGGTTCACAGAATGCATCATTGTATGAGGAAGGTCGAGCAGTAAGTTGGGTAATTCCAGTCCTTCCTACTGCTGTCTGCTCTTAGTAATGTTCAGCGGGTTAGGTTCATTGGCTAGTAGTGAAAGACCCGAACATCTGAATTATTGGAAATACGTGTTCTGAATCCAAAAGGCGACCAAAATAACTACTTAGGAGTTGAGATGCTAAGCACACATCTGCCAGAGGCTCACTGATGCACGCCCAGTGGTTGATCCAAAAGCAACTTATTCTATGCAATGAATCAGACTATCGAGCCGACACTCTAGCTCTGTAGAGGCGAAGATGCAAACGTGGGTGATGTAGCTACAGGAGATCATCAGCGTGCCAATTTCGATGTCAATCATTCCTCAGCGAAGCTGCGCTTCTTCAACAAAGAACAGCAACAATCATTTACATCTGGATTCTCTGAAAAATCATCTCCACAGTTCCTGCATGTACGTCTAATACCAACAACTTGATCTGACAGAACAAAAATTCGATTGAAATGCTGTCATTCTGCTTCTCTCCTTCTGTATCCCGGACAAAGCATAATGCAACTTGTAACATTTTTCAAGCTCAGTGTGCTTATAAGAAGACAGGTATTACAGTGATTCTCCTTACCTTGTGCTGCACTCTCTCCCCAGATGGCGAACCAGGCTCTCGACAGCGAACGTGCCTACGCCTTCTTCATCCGCTCCGATGTTGAAGATGTTGATCCAAACGTGGTGCATTTATTGATCTCCGAACTCACCACCTCACAATACTTCAATGTTTCACTGTTGACCGTCTTAATCTACCATGCCCGTCCGTACCATGATTTCTCGTTCCTAATCCTCGCTGACAGAAAACACGAATCAAGTAACGACAGGGGACAAAGAGGTATGCTGAATCTGTAATGATCTCTCGACCACGTACTGATATGTGTTCCTGCAGAGGAAATATTTCTGGGTGTGCCCAGTCCCCACTTATGAAGGCCCATACCTTATTTACAGAGATGCAGTCCAGGATATGCAATCCTATCAGTCTAATTTATTTTACAGTGAGAGTCCTCAAGCCATGTAGCAACTCGCTTATTCTAACCCTGAGTCTCAGAATCGTTTCTTTGGACTCCTTGGGATAATTTCTCTTATACTCTGTAAGTAGAAACGTCTATTGTCCACTTAGTCGTAAAAAGCAGTCGGGAGTGACATTTTGCTCTAGACAATGGCCTCAAACAAAATCTTTTGAGGTAGAGAGCAGATCGGATTATCACTAGTATAGACTAACCTTGAATGCGAACACGCGTTGCTTACAGCTGTAAGCTCTCCAACCTTATCCATCAATTCCTCCTATTGACTTCGAAGTTAGGCCGGGCAACGTTTTGGCCAATTGGCTTATGTAGTAAGCTGTTTACTATTAGACATTAAGTTACCAAATCAATCCCATGCCAGATTTGTTCACAATTGTCCTTATAGACTGTAAGCACTACCCTCTACATTCCATATACATATAGTATGTACGAAGTTTTAATAGACATTCTCCAACGTCGCGTATTGGCATTTTACCATCAACGAGGGTATGTCCATATGTCACACAGTTTCTCAATCTAATCTTGGAAGATAGGAGACTCTCAATTATTCTCAAGGTACTTCTTGCTATAGAAGTGGGCATTGGTCTCGGTGTTTTTGTACACGGAGGTTTAATTGAAGATTGTAAAACTGATATCTAACTCTCGTTTTGGTTAACAAGTAGGCTGAAATAATTTGCATTAGCTATTCCTGGTCAGCTTGCGGAGGGTTATAGTATTTGTTTGGTCGGAAACCCTCCACGAATTCTGGTAATCATCTCTTGGTGAGTATGATACTTGCACCTTAACATGCTCTGACATGATTTAGGACTTCTCCTCTCATATATGGGACGATTTTACTTTGTCTGGCCCTCTTCAAAGCAGTAGGTTACTGGAGAATGTCCTCTGGTGTCGAAGGCCGCCTCCTCGTTAAAGTCCTAATTAAAGACCAGATTCTGTACTACAGCTTGTAAGTGGAACACTTATGAATAATTTTCTGACTCAAGTTATTGTAGTGTAATATTTTGTAGTCTGATGAAGATGGTAGACATCCGACTTGTGACTGTCAATCCTTTTATTGCCGAGCTTCTGGGTGCGGCTGGAAGTCCGACACTTCTCTGTGTCCTCGGAAGTCAACTTCTGATCAACCTTAAGGAGGCAGGTGAGAGAGAAGAGAACGGAGGAACGAATTATAGGTCAAGAACTCTTAGCAACATTCAATTTGCTGAATGTGTGTATGATTATGCTTTTACACGATAATCCTGGCTGATGTGTCTCTGGCGCTTGAACAGTTGCTAGCTTAAATAGAGAAGGGACAGTCTGTACTTAAAAGTCTGATTTTCCTCTTGTGCCTTGGACAGATACTAAATATTCAAAGTTGTTATCCCTTATATACTTTAGTCTTAACTGAGTTTCTGTATCTATATTAATAGTTATTCTACTTTTTAAAGACTAAGGACCTATGTAAACAAAATTAAATTGAATTATAGTTTGATAGTTGGAAATCTATCAAGGTTTGATAGAGTTTATAGAAAAATAGCTTGTGATTTTATCTAATTTACTCCTTTCTCTTTCTCTCTATTTTTCTACAGTAAGTAAGAGTAAGATTTGCAACCATAAAGTATATAATTATTTTCAAATCATATATCCTCTATACTTAGCAACTATACTATTGCTTGTGTTCTGAATCTGACAAGTGATTAATAACTACACAAGGGCTTGGATTCTCTGAGCAGTCTGCTGGACATTGACTGACGGATTTCTAGTGGGTGATACAAAAGTTTTCTGTAGGGAAATTTAGACTACCGAGATGATTCCCTAACTCAGCCGAAGTGGAGTCGAAATGTGGGTCATGCGGCAAAGACGAACCATTAGTGTGCAAGGGATGCACCTCCAGAAAAGCTTTAATTTCTCAGCATCATGTCCATCTGCTTCCTCTGCGAAGTCATTTCATTCATGTCTAACTATGCGTCTCACATCACTAACCTAATCTGACAAGATAAAATTTTGATTGAAACGCTGTCATTCTCGTCTTGCATCCTGGGCAAAAAATGCACGCAAGCTGTACCGTATCTGAAGCCTGCAATCTTATAAGAATGCGACCGGTCTAAGGTGCATCCGTAGTTCGCCTTGCACTATCTCCACTCTCATGGCAAACCAGACTCTCAGCTACAGACACGCCTATCCAATTTTAACCCGCTCTAATGCTCTGGATGTTGATCCAGGCTTGATCCGGTCGTTTGTTGCCGAAGCCATCACCGATCAGTACATCAAAGTGGTGCTCCTAACTGTCTTAGCCTACCACAATTGTTCGTAGAACGATTCTTCAAGCGCGAATTTCACTGACAGAGAGTACGATTTAAGTGATAACAATGGATAAAGAGGTATGATAATTGCAGTGCGATATACACTAGCTAAACGTGCTCTTGCAGATAAAATACTTTTGGGTGAGTTTAATGCTCACGTATTTAAGTATATAATTGATTCATGGCGACAAAAGTCGAAGCCGCGCTTACTTTGCTGGTAAAATGCTAATACACGCATTTGGAGAATGTCTGTAAAATAATCATGAGCAGATTATTCAAAACGAATCAATGAGCATAATACATACAGTCAACATCACGAAAAAGTCGCAACAAATGTAATTGATAATAGCAAATGTAATGTAATAATGTACTTATATATCAATTACAATTCAAAATTATAATTATACTTTGCTTGTAATTGAAATGTAACAACTGTATATAAATGTAATACTTATATAAGAATTGTATTATACTACAATTGTTTTTTGAAGCAAGTAATGTTACTACCAGTATTACTACAATATTATATGTGAGACACAAGTACTTAACTTTTATTATAATATGTTAAAATTGTATATAAATTAATATACAACAGTAGTTAACTAGTTATAATATTTATAAAAGTAATGTATTATGCTTGTAAGTTGATTATAGTACTTTTGGTAAGATAATATGCAATTATATATATTAATATTGTTAACAATCAGTCTGTTAGACTTATAATATAATCTGGTTTTGCTTTTAAACTTTATATCGAAGTGCTTACATAATCGAATACCGAAGATCGAGAGCATATAATGACGCACTTACACTCGTCACTCCTTTTCCTCCTACCTCCACCATCTCCCCCAACCCTCTTTCCCCAACACTATGCGTCGCTTTTGTTCTCTCCAGCCCAGTCTCCTGCCTACAAGCATCCTCCAGCAGGCACACTGCCTGCAACCACCTAGACAATAAACATTGCTGCATTCATCTCTCTAATCTGCCACTGCGATGCTTGTGCTGAGCCTCAGATCCTGTGACGACACGACCCAGCTGGCTTCGCCATCCTTCAGCGTAAAGCGTAAGCAGCTAGTCCACCTCATAATAACCTGCACAATAGTTGCTCACCCCTCTCCTCCCAACTTTTTGTCTTCCTTCCATCCCTTCCACTCCTCGCTTTGCCTCTTACGTTGCCTCTCCTTCGTTGCCCTCCTTTTATTACGTTCACCTTCCTTTTTGCATTCGCATTCGCGCATCTGCATTGTTGACCAGTGTCGAACGACTTTTTCAGTAATTAAATGCATTCGTGTACTTCTTCCCGCTCAGCAACGCAAGCAACAATTGGTGAGTACGCACTCGCGACAATGTCCATGTATGACCACTCCTCAGGCGCAATCCTCTCTCCGGCCCCCCGCGCACTCTCCTACCCCACCCACCATCCTATGTTTGACATCACCCTTGATGGGCCTACGCTGTGTGCATTTATATTCCCCAGTACCGTGCATGACACCATTTCGAACGGAAGCAGTGACCCTCCACTCCCCTCTCAGCCGAGTCTGTCCGCCTTCCACTTCACCTTCGCCTTTCGAGCCGGAACGTCCTAGAGATACACCTTGCAATTGACGACTCAGTTTACTGCACCTCCCATTGGACACCGTAGATAAACCATAGACCACACACACACAGACACTATTCCGTCTGCAGTCTGAATCAACTCGTTCAACACTCCGGATCTCAACCTGCATGCACTACTCACACTCGCTGCACGCCATCGCCGTGCGTCCATCTTTTCTTTCTTATTGTCACTCGCTAAATCACTCCAAGTCTGTTTCACAGGCACAGCCTCAACCTCCAAAACCTGCTCGACCTTGCAATTCAACTTGCAGGGACTGAGCGACGACCAAGGCGTGGTGACGAAGATTACTTTGTACGGCCCAAGAACGCGTTAATCCTTTACTGACGTGAATTCTGCTTGCAGAGGAACGAGGCAGAGGCTGCTAGTGGTGCAGGGATTGGGACTGTAGAAATAATATAATATTCACTATCTTTTTGTATTAAATAATTAAATATAATTACATTTTATTAATTATTCAATACAAAACTGTATACAAAACAAAAGCAAGCTATCCAAATGCTTGTAATGATTTGTATATATTGTAAGACAATACTATACTGTCAAAAAATAATAAGTATATTTTACATTATTATTTTGGGAGGTATGTTATAATCACTTATATATCTTGACAATATGTACAATTATAATTAATATCAGTAATTTCAATAATTGTTCTAGATTCTCATTATACTTGTATTAAATTATAATTAACTTGTGAAAACCCCTATGAAGAATATAATTGCTTTAACAAAATTTACAAAAAGTATAAAATATACCTGGTTATAATCTAATACAAGTGTTGCGACTTTTTCGTGATGAATGAGAACAAGCGTAATCAAGTCTTCCCGTGGCTCTGTGTTTAATTAGAGTCTTAATTCACAATAGTACACAGCTCACTGGATAAACCAGTCGTCCAAAACGTTACTCGACCTAACTTCTAAGTAAATGCAGTGAATGAATGGTCAGTAGTCAAAACGCACAGCTGCAATCGTTACGTATGACTTCAAGGTCAGTTTATGCCAGAAAAAACCCGATTTGTGTTCCCTACCTTAAAAGGTTTTGTTTGAATCCAACGTCTGTAGTAAAAAATATGTGTCAATCGCCTCTCACAAGCTAGTGAATCGTGCAACTATTTTTCATACGATATATACTACAAATTATCCCAACGAGTCCAATGTAGCGATTCTAAGCAAGATTAGAATGTTCTCGGTTACTATATAGCCTCGTTGGTCCTTACTGCAAAATAAACGAGGCTGATGAAACTATATATAGACCTATTATATGCTTATTTAAAGTAAATTGTGGCAGACAGGAAACTCTCAATCATACTCAAGGCACTTCTTGCCATAGAAGTATTAGTTGATCTCAGCATTCTTATTTATACTGTTTTACTTCAAGATCGTAAGAATGTTAATTAACTCTCACCTTGGTCGATAAGCGCGTTGACACAGTCACGGTGCTGTCCAGCTACCTCGGCTCGTCTTGCAAAGGGCATTGATGTTTGTCCAGTCAATGTTGCCCCACAATCACTAGGCATCGTTTCCTGGTGAGCATAATATCAAAGTGTCTAAAAATGCTCTGACATAGTGTAGGAGTGCTCCTCTGATATACGGAACGACTTTACTATGCCTGGCAGTCTTCAAGGCAGCAGAGTACTGGAAGATGTCATCCGGTTTCAAAGGCTTCCATCTCATCAGAGTCCTTGTTGAAGACCAAATTCTATACTATGGCTTGTAAGTGGAACATTTGTGCACATATAATTGACTCAAGTTGTTGTAGTGTAATTTTTTGTTGTGTGATGCAGATAGTGGATATTCGAATTTCAAACATCAATCCTTTCGTTTCATCGTTTATAAGTGCCGTGGCAACTCCTACTCTTCTCTGTGTCCTCGGAAGCCACCTACTGATTAATCTAAAGGAGGCAGGCGAGAGAGGAGTAAACGAAGGAACAAATTACAGATCGAAGACTGTCAGTGACATCGAATTTGCAGAAGGTATGTTTGTGTGAGTTTTTCTTTCATAACCTTGGCTAATTTATTTTAGGTGTTCCAGCTGCTGCAGACTCGAACGGAGAGGGAACAAGCAGCGTTTGACAAGTCGCGTTTGCCTCTCACTTCCGTACCGGATCAAAATGATATTCACCGATTTCCACACTGTCGATTGTTTTCATTTATTGCATTCCCACGTTTCGAGCTGCTTATTTACTTTCAGGACCTTTTTATCCGAGCTACTGTTTTCTTGATGCCTTGAACTACTATTTACGTATGTAACTAGAGTGTGCTCCTTGCTCCAATGTACAATTTGTACAGTCTTATTTATTTATATATTACAGTTGTGGGCATATATTTAGTCGTTGAAAAGTAAGTATAATACATTGGGCACTTGTATCAATGTTGATAAACCGTTTGTTGCTGATGAGTGGACGTTTCTTACTCATACCAGTATAAGAGAAAATACTCTTAGATATGACGTATCACTGGCGTTGAAACTGGAATTGAGAAGAATGATAATCATTCCGGGCCAGGATACTACTTGACGCTTTCTAGTATTTAGCAAGCTTGGTTTATAAGCTAGTAATGCAATTCCTAAACATCTGGGTCATTGGAAATTAGTAATGATGAATGCAAAAGGAAAAGAAAGAAAGGGTGAGACTTGGTTGACAGATGACAAGAGGTGTGTCTAGCTCACGTCTTTTCTTGTTTTTCAAACAGTTTTACTTACAATCTACTGTGAATACATATTTCTACTGTAAAGTTGAGTTGGAGATGTAATTATCTCACTGTATCAGAAATAAGTCTCTGTAAAAGTCTCATAATATCTAATAGACTTGTATTACATTTTTACATTCAGTACTTGGTGTGGAATAGCAACCTGGAAGACAATATCTTTTTAGCACAAAGAGGCAATAGTCTGTGGTCTCAGGCTATCCATCTGGCACAGTCAACATATAGCGAGTCGTTCTCTAGGATAATTTAGACTACCGAGGTGGTGTTCTAACTCAGCAGATGTAGAGTCGTAATGTGTTTCAGGTGGCTACGGCAAATAGTCGGCCTGCAGATCATGAACGTCCATCATTCCCCCAGCAAAGCTTCGATTTCTCAACGTCATGTCCATCTGCTTCGTCTGAAAAGCCACCCCACTAATGTCCAATTATACACTTCATATCAATAACTTAATCTGACAGGATCAATCTTTGACTGAGACGCTGTCATTCTGCACCTCTCCCATCCCGCATCTCGCGCAAGACAAATGCGACTCGTCCTGTCTTTTAGAGCCCTAATCACATAAGAGGACGCCCAGTATAAGGAGCACCTATAGCCCATCTTGCGCATTCTCCTATCCGATGGAGAACCAGAATCCCGTTTATAGACATGCCTACTCATTCCCTACCCACTCTGATACTGTAGACATAGATCTGAATGTGGTACAGCTGGTCGTCTCCGAAGGAGTCACTGCCGAGTACTTTGACGTGGCACTAACAACTGCCTTAGTATACCATGCCAGTATGTGCCACAATTCCATATCCCAATTTTATTTATATAAAGCACAATTAATCAAAGTCACAACCATGGATAAGGAGGTAGGATTACTTGTGCAACTAACTTGTATACATATTCTAATTTGTGTTTCTGTAGATAAAATACTTTTGGGTGAGCTGAATGACAACTCGTATAAATCTATGGCTTATTTATAATGGTACAGTCAAACCCGTGCAGCCCTACTAGCCTGATTTATTTTTCGGTAAGTGCTGCCAAGGTATATAGTAGATGTATACATACGTATCTTGACATTTATGTAGAATCGTGTCGTCGGACTCCTTGCAATAATTTGTGGTGTAATCTGTAAGCAATACTTTTGCAATCCACTAACCTGTAGAAATTAACTATCACCGAAATTGACTGTAGACAATGGTTTCAAGCATAATCGTTCGAGGTAGAGAACAAACAAGATTATCACTTACACACATTGACCTTGGGTGCAAAACTCGCATTACCTGCAGCTGTGCGTTTCCCCTCCTGACCAATCATCCATATTATTGACTTGGGAGTTAGGCCGAGCAACAGTATGGATATTCGACGCATGCCGTAAGCAGCAGGTTACTGGTATTTGTTGTGACTCCAATTTGACACAGACCCAGAATTGATTAGCTGTCTCCTTGTCGACTGTGAGTATTAATCCTATTACTTCATGGAGATACTATACCCACATAGTTGTCTTATAGACATACTTCAAATTCGTATATTAGCACTTTACCAACAAAGTAGGTATGGTAATATCCCAGTAATATCTTAATCTGATTTTACCAGATAGGAGATTTTCGATCATCCTTAAGACACTCCTCGTAATAGAAGCAGGACTTGCTCTAAGCATTCTTATTTATATCACTTTGTTTGTAAACCGTGAGTACTTAGAATATTAATTGTGACTTGTCCTGAGCAACGGGGATATTCATATAATGTGCTTTAGCAACCCCTGCCCACCTTGCTCAGGGTATTATTGTTTGTCTCTTTCACAATCCCCCACAAATATTGCCATTGATTTTGTGGTGAGTAAATAATCCATCCAGCTGACCTTACTCTTACAAAGTACAGGACTGCTCCCCTAGTATATGGAATGATTTTACTTTGTCTTGCCCTATTCAAAATGGCAGAGTGCTGGAGAGAGTCGACTGGTTTCGAAAGGTTCCATCTTGTCCGAGTACTCATTAAAGATCAAATTTTATACTATGGCTTGTAAGTGGGACGCCTGTGCAAAATTAACTGACTCAAAATGCTACAGTGTGATATTTTGTTGCTTGATGCAGATAGTGGAGATTCGAATCTACGATTCCAATCCTTTCATTTCAGTCTTTCTGGCTGAAACAGGAAGTCCGGCCCTTCTCAGCATTCTCGGAAGCCACCTTCTGATCAATTTAAAGGAGGCAGGCGAGAGAGGAGTGAATGAAGGAACCATTTACAGATCAATGACTGTCAGTAACATTGAATTTGCTGAACGTATGTTTGTGCAAGTCTCTCTTTCATGAACCTGGCTGATTTATTTTAGGCGCTCCGGTCGCTGCAGTCTCGAACGAAGAAGGAGCGAGCAGTGTTTGACGGATCACGTTTGCCTCTCACTCCTGGGACAGGTACTAGATTGAAATGATGTTTATTAATTTCCATGCTGTGTTGCTTGATTTTGAATAATGTATTTGTAATACTTTGAACTGCTTATTTACTTAAGAATCTTCTTAATAAGCTTTTAACCGAACTGCTGTTTTCTTAACGTCTTGAACTATTATTTATGTATACAGCCAGAGTGTACCATTTGCTCTAGTATACAATTTGTACAGTTGATTTTATTTATTCTTTACAGTTGAGAAAATATATTTAGTTGTTAAAGAGTAAGTATCATACATTAGACACTTGAATCAATGCTGATAAACTGTTTGTTGCTAATAGGTGGATGCTTTCTACTAATGCTAGAATAAGAGAAACTAAATCTTTAAAAATATAATGTATTAGTATTACTAGTATTCAAATCAAATTCTTACTATAAACTTAATCAAATCAGTTTTTCAAATATAGAGTTTGAACAATATAAAAAAATTTGAACTAGGTGATTCTTCTTACAGAATTATCTAAATATAATCATGTAAGAGTTACTTTTAACTTTACTCAATTAAAAAATTTCAAAAATACTATATTAGCAAATTCTTTCAAGCCAGATCTATTATATATACTACTTTAGCTTCACAATATTATATTAGTACAATTCCTCCAAATAAGGTATTGACTTATACTATATTAAAATTGATTCACATTTTATATGTATTTTGTTAGGAGAATGTATTCTCTAAGTTGGTAATATACTCTAACTATAAATTAAGCTTGTAACCCTTATACTAAATATATTCTAAGCTACCAACACAGGATATTATGTAAGGAACAAGAAGGATACAAGAAGAGTCAAAAAACTAAAGAACTCTTACATAAAATAAATAGTATCTATAATGTAGAAAGTATTAAGAGATACAAGAGTAAAATAAAGAAAATATTAAAAGTATAAAAGTATAAAACAATGAATAAAATATAGAAAGGCAAAAGAGAATAAAGAGAACAAGGAATACTTTACAAAAAGCTTGTACAGGCTTAAAGAGTGTATCTTAAGCTTATTGTGTTCAAAGAGGCAACAGTTTTATAATTAAGGAGTAAAGGATTAGTTAGATATACAGACCTTATACAAATAGATTATAAAAGTACAAAGAGCTCTCCTAAGCTAAGTATTCAATCTCTTATGTCAAAAATTAGCAAAATAAAAGATAAGATATTAAGGATAAAGAAAATAAAGGAGTAATTAAGGGTTTTAATAAGGGAAAATAAAATAAAGTAGAAACAATAAAGGAGAAAAGTAAAAAAATTCTAACATATTTGTAAATCATTAATAGATACTAATAGAAAAACTTACAATTACTAAAAAGTGTTTAACCTTCATTTCTTAAATACTTACTAAGTCTTAATTCTAGATCTCTTTTAGCTCTACTTCTTTCTATGACTAGGATTTTTATTTTACAAACAAGAAGTATTATAGTAACTCTTAGATTTCTTATTTACTTACTGAGAAAACAATCTTCCTTCTCTTTATCCTATTATTCTATATGAGAAACTATTTACTTAAATCAGTTATCTTATTCTTCTTAAGTTATATTTGTAATCTACATTTTAATCTTCATATAATAGATTCTACTAATTATAAGTCTTCTAGAGCCATCCAGCAGATGACTCACAAATGTGTGTATTATAAACAGATTGTACTTCATTATGTATCCAGAAGCAACTAAATGTATAGTAGAATTAAAGAATAATATTTTTAGAACAGAAAATAGTAGAGTAAAGGTATATATTGTTATAATTCAGGTACATACACTCAGACATTAATGACCTTGTAATTAGTATTCATCAAACTGTTCAATTCCAAAGAATGCTTTGTTGCTACTGACACAGGGTGGCTGTGTCTCACAGACATTAGTGAGAGATAGGTAGTAATGATAGAAATGTTGAAATAGTATATATACAGTGTTCTAGACAATTTATATATAATACAAGCAGAACTCTAG